TTTTGCTCAGAATGCAATTTAACCGTTGTTTGCCAATTTCATTATGTTGATAGTGAAGCATGGACAAGTCTGGCGATTGATGAAGTCTTTTGAAGAAATTTAAAATGGAAAAATTACATAAGTGAAGGCCTTTTATTTAATAATTACCATTTTTAAGTATACTTTTAATTTATTACCATTTTTGTCAACTTTTAGCAATAGTTACTTAAAACAATTTTAAAACAAATTTGTTCCTTTTCATGTAATTTTTAAACTAAAGCAAGAAAAGTGTTGCCCATTCGCTCATATCCTCTCTCTCTTTTCTTTCTACTCTTCTGTCCGAAAATTTTAGGGTTTTGTTGTTCTTTCTTCCCCATCTTTCAGCACAGAATTCTAATGGAAGAAGGAGGAGGAGCACGAAAATCACCTAGAAGAAGTCCGCGGATACTTAGTGATGTTGGTACTTCGAATCAGAAAGTTTATAGAAAGAGTCGAAAGAGGGGTCAAGTTTCATCTCCTACTGATGAAGTTAATGACTGTCCCAATTTTAGTTTGGGAATCTCACAAGAATCGGGTGAGCAAAACAAGGGTGAGCAGAACAAGGAGGAGCTGAACAAGAAGCAGAACAAAGGTAAAAAACGAGTTAAAGAGGTGAACAATGTGAAGAAATCGAAAAAAAGATGCGTTGATTTAGCATCTACGTCGAAGAAAATCGTGGACTGTGATGACGATTTTGATGATTTACCTCCTCAAGTTCAGTCAAAAAAATTGAAAAATAAAGATGGGCCGGAGAAGAAGAAGCCAGTGAAGGATGCAAAAACTCGAAATCGATTGCCTCAAAATGTCATTCTACCAGAGAGTAGATATCCGGTATGTGATAGTATTTTTCCTAGTTAGTTGTTGTTTTAGGAATGATTGTATACTGATTACTGCCTTGATTTTGAGATCTAGTATGTGGAATTCACCTTTAATTCAACTTTAGTATGTAGTAATACAATTTGTTTTAAACACTCAAATATGAATGTGAGATATCAAGTTAGGATGCATAGTGTTGCAGTGCTAGCTATTAGTAGCTTTATATCTCAGGTTTAAGGGATTGTCATCTGAAGAAATGGCAGGAAGTGAATAGAGCAGGTTTTGCATTTGTTTGATTAATAGGGTCACCTAAATAAAGGGGAGGGATAAATAGGATTCTGAGTGCTGACCCTAACTAGTTTGGGATTGAGTGTCCTAGTGTCTTGAATACTCTTCCAATGAAGAGCAGTGCTATAGCAGGAAGCTTGCAGTCACTTTGAATTTGACATTTATGTTTTACTTAATTGCAAAATATCTCCTCTTTGTCCATTGTTTTGTCTAGAATTAGTGGGAGCTTGTCAAATAGCTGGTAACACTTGTTCGTGTGAAAAGATGTGTAAATGAGAGGACACATCATATATTTTGGAGTAACATTGTTTCATGTTCTATCTGATCTTTTCTCCCGCACTCGAATGTTTTGTTCCAATGGATAAAGTGGAAATGTAGGTTTAAATTGCTTTGGAAGTTGGTTTTTCGATATAAAATAAAGCTTTAAGTGTATGACAACTAGATCATTGTTTAGGCTGCTTGTGTTGAAGTTGATAAGTTCTGGGTTTGGATTTTGGAACCAGAAGTGGTCATCGGTGTAATTCATCTTTAATTCATCTTTAATTCAACTGATTACTACCTTGCTTTGATACATAGTATGTGAAATTCATCTTTAATTCAACTTTAGTATGTAGTAACACATTTTTAATTCATGTTTAATACATATGCAGGATCGTAAATTCTGGAAACATCCGGATGTTGTGTATATTTCGAGTAGGTGGTCATCTTACACTAATCATAGTGTCATCGACCAAATCAAACTATCTTTATCTGATAAACAACTTGAGTTGTTCAGGAATACATGTTTTGGTTACTTTCTTGACCTTCCAAAAGCGAGCACACAACTACAAGTTATTCATTGCCTTATAAATAGAGAGTTAAAACACACACCGGATGATGTGTTTGCTATTGAAATAAATAACAAAAAGTTGTTTTTTGGTCTTAGAGAATTTGGAATAGTTACCGGCTTAAATTGTGTTAGTGATGGCACTCCTATCACTGTTCCTGATTCTAAATGTAGTTTGTTGAGTAGTTATTTTCCGGAAAAAATCACTGTTGCAAAGAGTCATCTACGTGCGTTGTTTCTAGCTAAAAAATTCCTAGATGATGACTCAGCTGTTTCATTGGCTGTTCTCTTCTTCATTAATGATTTTTTATTTTCATATGAGGACAACGAATACCAAATTAGTAATAGAGATTTTTACCTTGTGGAAAGTGGACAATTCAATTCATATCCGTGGGGTTTAGATGTTTACAAAAAGTTGTCTGATTCTGTGAGACATGAGCTTAAGTCAACCCATAAATACTATAGATTGGGTGGCTTGCCTCTTGCTCTTCAAATTTGGATTTTTGAGTGTTGTTCAAAAGTTGATGAAGATATAGCCATTCGGGTTGCTAACTCAATTCCAAGAATCTTGAATTGGAAGACAATTGCCGAAAGTCCATGGCAAAAATATATTGAGAAATGTCTCTTCATGCCTACAAAAAATAAGGTATTTGTACAAAGTTAATACATTTTATGGCATTGTTTAATTCTACTCAAGTTACTATATCTATTTTTATTTTGTTTATTTGGTTTTTCAGTTTGAGAACATAGTGGCTAGTGAAGATGAAGTATCTAAAT